GTTTTGAATCTTGCTGATTTTAAGGTTCTCTTTAACTTTTGACATTTTAATTATGTGTCTTGGTGTGCATCTCTTGGGGTTCATATTTTTAGAACTCTGTACTTCCTGGATCTGGATGTCTGGGGGTTTTTTTGCCCTAGGTTGAGGTTTTTAGCCACCATTCCTTGAAATAAGTTTTCTCCTTTCTCTCTCTCTCTCCTCCTACTGAGAGCCCTATGATATGAATGTTAATCCACTTGATGTTGTCCCACATATCCCTTAAGCTATCCCCACTTTTTTTCATCTGTGTTTCTTTTTGTTGTTCTGTTTGGGTGAGTTCTACCGCTCTGTCTTCAGGTTCACTGGTCCTTCTGATTTATCTAGTCCGCTCTTGAACCTCTCTAGTGATTTTTTCTGTTACTATATTCTTCAGCTCCATGACCCCTGTTTGGTGTTTTCTTATATTTTCTTTGTTGAAGTTGTGTATTGATCCATTTTCCTCCAGGGTATGGTGAGCATCTTTATGACCATTACTTATTCTGAGAGAGAGAGAGAGAGAGAGAGATGGCACGAGTGGAGGAGGGGCAGAGACAGAGAGAACCCGAGGCAGGCTCCATGCTCTCAGCCCAGAGCCCGATCTGGAGCTCAGACTCAGGAAACTGTGAGATCATGACCCGAGCCAAGATCAGGAATCGGACGCTTACCTGGCAGTCAACCAGGCACCCCAATTTATCTTTTAGTAAGGTGTTTTTCCTCAGGTTCCTAGATAAAAAGGCCTCTCCTCTTCATGGAGTGAGCTCATGTAGAAGATGGACCTTCTTGTTCAACCAGGTCCTCATTACCAGTGGCTCTCAAACCTTTGTGTCTGTACAGCCTGTTTTATTGTTCACGGTTCCCAGTAGTTGAGGAGGTGCCAAGATCGGTCAGTGTCCCAAAAGGGAGAAGCTCAGCACCTAGACTCAGGCTGACTGGAAGATACTCGGGCAGCAGCTTAAAAAATATGCAATGTACACAGTTCTTTGGGACTGCAAGCATGAACTCCACTGGCCACCAGGGCCAGGTGATCTAGGTGTCCTCTGGGTGGCAGCTGCAAAGACCAGGACTCCACACAAGCGTACAAACACCTGTGTGGGAGATACCGGCATGCTGCAGTGAGGCGGGGGGACCGTGCGCGCAGAGATGGCGTGCACCGGCCTGGTTCCCTGAGAACACGTGGTAGGCCTTGGGCACGTGTCGAACTCAAAGCCCACCCTGCAGGACTAAGCTGCAGCTCAAGCACGTACAGCTCTTTGTGGTCGGGCGGGGGTGCATTTCAGTCTGCTTTCTGGGAAACGTCCTGGGGGCAGTAGCCTGCCAGGGAAGAGCTGATGATCGAAGTCCCGTGGGACCCAGGAACGTAAGCCCCTCTGGCCAGCAGGGCCAGGTGACCAAGGGGCATCCCCGAGTGGCCGGCCCCAAAGACCGGGACACCAGATGCGTGTAAAAGCTCCCCTCCAGGAGATCCCGGCGCTCTGGAGTGTGGCGGCGGGGGGAGAAGAGGGCGCCTCCCGAGGTCCCCGGGGAGGAGGGCGGGCAGCCCTGAGATGGGTTTATTGGAAGCCTGCCCCTCAGGCTGCCGCTGCGAGGGTGAGCCACGAGGCCTCTTTCGTAGACAGGACTCCTGGGCCTGTTGTCTCGTGCTGTGCCCTGGGGCTGTTGGCCATTTACCCTCTCTTCCCGTGCGGCCCACCAGCAGAAGGCCCGCTGGCCCCCAGAGCCAGGAGACGCAGAGGTGTTCTTCTCTAGCAGCCGGAACACCAGGGTGCCAGGTGGGAAACCCGGGCACTGGACACACAGAAGTTCCTTCCGGACAGATAATGGTGTTCTGAAGCACAGCACATGGAGAGGGAGAAGTTGGTGCCCACTGGCTGAGGAGTGACCGAGGGGGGCTGTAGAGAAGGTGCCCACCGAGAAAGAGAAATTGGGGAAAAAAAGCCTAGAATTCCTTGTCTTTTTTGTTTTTAAGCCTTCTCCAGCCGGAGCAAGACAGAGGGAGCGCATGAAGGCGGTGGCCGCCAGTCCCTGGGCCTAGAGCGTCCCAGCAGGCCCCGAGTGTGTCTCAGACCAGATGCATGGGCCCCAGGCCAGTGCTCCAACACAGAGTCCAGGCGGCCCTCAATGGGCCACTTCCAAGCCGGGCTCTGGGGCAGGGCAAGCGTGTGAGCCCTTTTAAGAGCCATTTCTGGAATCACTAGCCTCGTGGGCCTGGTGGACGTGAGCCTGTTGGTGTTCAAAGCTAGATGTTTTAGGGGCCTGTCTCTCAGGCACAGATTTTAAAAGTTGGGGTGCCCAACGTGGGGTGCAAGCCCTTTGCTCCCCGGGGAGAAACTCCGGGTTTTGAGCTCTCTCCCAGCCGTGGGTCTCTGCACTGGGGGTGGGACTTAGGGCAAGACGGTGTCCCAGCTTCTCCCACCCGCCGTGACACGGGCCTTCTTTCAGTGTGTGAATCACTCAGCTAGCTTTTAGGGCTCTTTTGTCAGATCAGGCTGTCCTTTACGTACCCGTAGAATCAGGGTGCTGACGGGAGGAGGGGAGACAAGGTCCTCTCACGTCATCTTTTAACTGGATCACCTGCAGCTGGAAAGATGAGAGAACAGCAAACCCATGGCCGGAGGACCCCGAGGCTTTGTGTTTGATCCTGTTGATAAGCGGCCGCCACAAGGCCCTGCTCAGGCCAGTTTCCGCGCTTTAGGCCTCGGGTCTTGCGAACATCCGCGCTTTCCTCCCTGTTCCAGAGTCTGTCCCACTGTGAGCTCATCACAGACGATGGGATCCTGCACCTGAGCAACAGCACCTGCGGCCACGAGAGGCTGCGGGTCCTAGAACTAGACAACTGTCTCCTCATCACCGACGTGGCCCTGGAGCACCTGGAGAACTGCCGCGGCCTGGAGCGCCTGGAGCTGTACGACTGCCAGCAGGTCACCCGCGCGGGCATCAAGCGGATGCGGGTAAGCGGGGGGGCACGCGTCCCCTGGCGCTTTCAAAGCTAACGGCGAACACGCCAAGAATCAATGTCCGCTCCCCACGTTTTACCCTCAGCCCATATTCTGCAGACTGGCAGGCTGAACAGGAGTCTCCCTGTCCAAAATTTCCATAATAGACCTCACCCTGGCAGTTTCCACTTCCAGAACGGTGTTGGTCTGAGGTTCCTCGTAGTCTGATCGGAATCCTGAGGAAGGAGCCTTACGGCCGTCACCGGCAGGAAGGAGACCGGGGTCTTGGTTACTTTCCAGATGAGAGGGCTTCAGGAGAATGTGGCTTCCCCAACCCCCAGGCAGTTTACCTTGTCTTCCTGAATGCGCTCTGCGCTTTGCATCTCCCTCCCAGAGCTGCCCCGGGTGCCAAAGCTGTGAGGCCCGTGCTCAGTCTGCATCCAGGGCTGGTGACGACACCAGGGCACGTATTCTGTGCTCTTTGGAAGGTGCTGGCTTAGGGGGACAGTGTGTCAGCAGCAGCTCTTGCCTGCACCGGGAATTCTCTCTGAACTATCTGCCCGAGGGGAAGGGGGTCGATTCTGTGTGGAGAACGCACGGGCTCGTCTAGGACTGTGCCTCTAATCCTCAGAACCCCCGCGTAGCGATGACTCCAGGTCGGGCTTTTCTGCTTCCAGGCTCAGCTCCCTCACGTCAAAGTCCACGCCTACTTTGCTCCCGTCACCCCCCCGACAGCAGTGGGAGGAAGCGGACAGCGACTGTGCAGGTGCTGTGTCATTCTCTGATGGCAGCGGCCAAGCCCAAGGCGCGAGGTGTCCCTTCCTCCAGAGAAGACCCAAGTCTTCCCGACCTGCCCCACCTTCGCCCAGATCTCTTGGTTCTCCATTGGGAAAGGCACATTCAGGTAAAAAACTCCGGTAGGGACCGCAGTAACTCCGGTGAGAGTTTTCACCTTTTATTCTGCTACGAGGCAATCACGTCACAGCCCGGAGTCTGGTGGCACGAGGCAAGAGCGGCCTCGGGGTAGCTGGGCCACACGGGAGAGGTGGGGGCCTTCTTACGAAGTCCCGCCCTTGGCTTTGTCGGCGTTCCTCAGACCGACCATCAGTGTTAGCACAAATTGAGCAGAAGAAATAAGCTGTTGATCTTCTAGCTGATACTTAAGCCAGCGGCCTACTGTAATTCACACTGATTCCGTTTTGACGAGCAGGACTTTTCCACTTTGAAGACTAAATAGCAACTTTCTCAAAGTGACTGTACTGCAAATCCACGATGCCTGCTGGTTTTGTATGTAGAGCCTTGGGTGGGAGGCAAGTTAGCCGGTTTCCACGAGACACCAAAGAAATGAGGACTCTGAACTGGGTGGGGCAGGGTCTTCACCCTTCTGTGTCCGTCAGCTTGTCACACACACTTTCGGGAACCGAGAGCTAAACACACACAGCTCGGAGGTCGTGTCGCTGCCTGACCAGACAGGGGCTGTGGCCCGTGCCGCGGCACGGAGTGCGTTTTCGTTATAGGAGAAGAGCTAATCACGCCATCTCTCGCAAGACCTGGGGGACCGTAAAGAAACAGAACGACGGCTTAAGTTATCTACAATATAATCAATTAAAAATAATGAATGGATGCATGTAGAATGGGTGTGATTTTTTCCAAGTTTATTTTAAAATCTTAGAAATCAAGTTACACCAGAACTATTCAAAAATTGTACACACTTAAAACGCAGATCAGTAAAGTGTTGGCACCTTTCAGACTCATAATATAAAAATGAATAAACCATAGCAATGCTCAAGTCAGAGGGTTTTATTGCTATAATCGTATGGCAGACAAATCTGAGCAAAACCACTTTCCCAACTCAGACCTTCCTAATATTATTTAAAATCTGATAAGCTCTAGTTTCCACTCTGGGCTGTCCACACGTGTGATATTAAGACTAGAAACCCGTCACCACCCTCACATTGTAAACTTCAGCGTTCGTGGCAGCTGATGACCCTTCCTAGCGACCGCTCCCCACAACGAGGAGCACAGAGCTCATGGGAGGCTGCGGTGGGACAGCAAAGCCGGGGCACTTGTCTCCCCCAGACCAGCAGTCGGTCAGAGGGACCGGTCAGGAGCATTTAGGGTACAGTGGGAGAGAAGGCGGTACCTGCGCGACCCCGTAAGTCACTTCAACAAGGTCTCGGAATAAGCGTTCGAGTCCTGATGACTTCAGCGCCCGAGGACACGTCCTCTGGCATTCCCTGGCCGGAAGTGTGCACACACCACAGCAGTTGTTTGAAAATACATTTGTACCGCTTTGTGTGGCGGCGTGACTGTGGAAGGAAGCTATTTAAGTAAAACAAAGAGCGGGGAACACAGACTTGCTTCAGGAATTATAGTCTCCGTTTTAAAAATTCGCACGACCAGGGCTTTCTATACATGGGCTCTCTTGAGCCAGGGCACAGCCCACTGGGGTTCCTGGACTCCCTCCTCAGTGACCCGTGACCTCATTCAGAACCCCAGGTGAGGTTTCCCAGAGGCGCGGGCTGGGTCCGCTTCCTCTCCGTGTGGGGAGCAGTCGATGGAAAAGTCTGCCGCATCAGCTTTGAGAAAACAGACCGAAGAGAAAACCACACAACGGGCCTCACCTCTCGCAACATCTGGACTTCGGTGTGCTCAGCACATGCCCGGAACCCCTCAATTCTGGACTCGAGGGGATACGGTCAGGAACTAGGGTTTAAATGAGACACGCGTGTGCAAAACAATCGGAAAACATTTATTTTACTGAAATGTATATACATCCTACTGTTAAAAAAACAAAGTAGCAAATTTGCTGGTGCCATAATTTAACCTGCTTCACTGGGAGAGACTAATTTTCAATGCTGCTTGGTAGAATTTCAAGTTCGATGAGCTTCTAAAGTGTTTTCAACCCCATTTCTAACACCTGATGAGGAATTCGAAATAGCACACAGCATTAAATGACATTTATTGTTCCGTATATCTTGAGACTCAAAAAGGAATGCTAAATAGACAAGCAGAACTCTAAAAACAAGAGATATGCTCACTTCTTTCCCAAGTGATTGGTACAGAAAACATGTGTTCATACAAAAGCAAAGGGAGATGACAGAAAGGAACGTTCCCCCGCTTCAGGGTCTACAGAGTTACAGATATTTTCAAACTAAAGATGAAAGTGTTTAGAGACCGTGCGTCTTAACCCCCTTGAAGAATAAAACACGAACCGTCAAAGCTTTTTACCCACTGAAGTGGTCTGTCTTCTGGGAGGGATTTCAGAGTCCAAATCACTCCTATTTCTGCCCGAACAAAGATAAGAATCGGCACGTTCAAAACCAAGACAGCCGGGCGCGTGGACAGAGGTGCTATAGCTAAAGGGCGCCGAAGTTTAAAACACGGTCTGCTCCACCACAGGTTTCACAGGTGCCTGCTGGTGCGTGTGGGGAGGGAAGCGAGAACGAGGAGGAAATCGCAAAAGCCGTGGAGTCCCTTTGAGAGACAAGGATTTGGTTTCGTGGAAGACGCACCCTTTTTAAGAAAAAGAGGCCATCGTGTGGTGTAGCCAAAAGCCTCTTAAATAATCACCAGAACGTTTACCATGATTGTACTAGAGCTCAATATCTCAGAAGCGTGGGCCATTTTTACGGCACAGTTTAGTGTTTCATTTATGACATCTGGTTTGCCGCGATAATTTCAACTCATTGATAACAAAGACCCCTCCGGCAAGTCAGAAAACTACCATAGTCTTCCCCCTCCCCGGGGCACCTGGTTCTACGGTCTGGGGTAGGGCTTTAAAAACACTTAAGGACAGGACGGTTCAGAGCGAGGAGGGACGGGGTGGTCGGAAACAGCGAAAGGGAGGAACGCCACATGAGTTTAAAAGGCATTGGGGCTTCAAAAATAAAAACCAGAAACAAAATGCTAAAAATGGAAGCGGAAGCAAAAGGTTTTTCAAGAAATCTGTGACGAAGCAGAAACACAAAAGTCTTTGTACCTATTAGGATTTACACTGATCCTCTCACCAAGGTACTCTTGATAATGCAGTTTGCTTCACACCCGCCTTCCTGGCTCGGGTCTTCCCCGATCTGGCATGATCCTGTCACCCACACCCTTACGTGATTTCTTCCGAGAAGGTGCCAAGACTCTTACCTGACCACCAATCACGGTGTCAGCACGTGGCCTCTGCAGACAGACTCCGTGCTGGTTCCACGACGGCACTGTCCCCCACCCCCGCCCTGGGTCGGCATAAGGTTCAGGCCACAAAAGCCAAACTGGCACAGAAAGGTAAATGCCCACGGTACGTTTTTACATTCATTTCCAAACCGCATACAGTGTAGAGAGACAGCAAAGGCTGCCTCTAGGAACTGTACCTACTGGCCTCTGCCAGAGAAGCAGCAGCCGGGCCTGCGCGTGGCCCCCAGAGCTGCACGCGTGCCGTCCCGACGTGCTCACTCTCACGAGGATGCTTGGCTATGGCAGTGACAGTGAGGAGATTCGCCTCTCATACAGCTCATTAGAAAGGTCATCTTGTGTTTTCAATATGAAACATTTCATACGGTAAAATCCAATCCCAAGACTTCTTGGATTCAGTCTTCACACACTTTTAAGCGTGACTTTATTTGGTACTGAATATAGTTCAGACTAAGTAAGACATCACTTCAAAACTATGTGGATACCGTCACCATTCTCTGCTGCGGGAAAAGGAAAGGCACGTTACACACAACTCCTTTCGCCAGGCCCAGGAGAATCCAGACTATTAAATCGAAACTCCTAGAAAGCTACACCCTCCCTTCCCGGTATTTCTGGAGAAGAACACGGACACCTTCCCTTTGATTTTGCTTTTTAACATCCGGCCCATATGCCCGTCGGCGCCCTGTGCCCATGCTGCTGGGCAGCTCTGGGGTGCTTGGGGGATCCAGACCAGTAGCCAAAGTGACGTAAGCAAGGGGCGCGGGGGCTGGCGGCAGAGCAGGTGACGACACCGTGCCGGGCCGGAGAACGGCCACTCCACACAACCCGCACAGACCCAGTGCCTGCGTCCCATCTTTTCTGGAAATGATTTCTTAGCTCCTCAGAGGCCTGTCTGAAACATTCTGAAAATATCGCTACTTTTGTCTGATGGCCTCGTGTGTCTTAGGAAACAGCAAGAAGCGGTACAGCCGTTCATCAAGGAACGAAAGAAACTTTCTCGTGGGGACGAAAGTCTGAGAAACGGGGTGAGACTGGAGGGGACGGCCCGTCGTGTCTGACACGAGCAACAGCCGTGGCCGTCGTGAGACCCAAACGTACAACCGGACTACGGCTTTCCTGTCGTAGACGATTTGAGCTCCGCAGGGGAAACGCCGCACAGCTTTCCCTGCGAGAGCCGAGCGCGGGAGCAGTGGCCCGAGGTGCCGGGACAGCGAACGATGGAGCGAGCCAGCCTGGTTCGGGCTACCCTGGCTGGCGGTGGCTGACGGCAAACGCAAGGCACCAGCACAGGCGGAGTCATCCCTTCGGTGCTGGTGTGGACTGTCCCTGCAGGAGTGACTTCCAGGAAAGGGGGACACGGGAAATCTCGGCTCTCCGAGATACAGCTGAGGCTGGGTTTAGATCTTAACCCAGACTTATTTTAAAAGTCTCTTCTTCACATACTATCATTTTGCGTTTAGAAATCCCCTCCTGGGGCGCCTGGGTGGCTCAGCGGGTTGAGCATCTGACTTCAGCTCAGGTCACGATCTCCTGCCTGGTGAGTGCGAGCCCCGAGTCGGCCTCTGTGCTGACAGCTCGGGGACTGGAGCCCGCTTCCGGTTCTGTGTCTCCCTCTCTCTCTGCCCCTCCCCTGCTCACACTCTGTCTCTCTCTCTCAAAGATAAACAAACACTAAAAAAAAAGAACAAAAATCCCTCCTTTAACCCCCCAGGTGGAACTCACCTGAGCCCCCTCCAGGCCCTCCTTCCATATCCTTTCCCTAAATGACCGCAATCATTTCCACAGCTTGGAGCCACTGCTGGTGTGCCGAAGGCCTCCAAATTACATCTCAAGTCCAAGCCTCTCCCGCCAGCCCCAGACGGGCACAAATCACTGCCAAGTTGACCTTCCCGGCACACCTAAAAGGGGACTCTTAACCGCTTCCCTGCAGTCACTCCTGCCTCTCTCCTGGGACCACAGTCTGCCTGCCCAGCGGCTCTTACAGGAGCCACAACTGCCCCTCCCCAAGTATAGAGCCCAGCAGGGCCCTGCCCATAAATGTGTCAGACGCAGGTGACCTCTCCTGCCTCCAGCTTCGCCCCATTCTCATGGCTCCAGGGTTGCAAGAGTGGAAGAAAAACCAAACTGCATTTACACAAATACTCCTTTGTTTAAACAACTTCACTGACTTCCCAATACGTTTCAAACAAAATCTGTCGTGCCCGGGTCCTACACACCCGACCAACACCTCCCACTCTGACCTCCACCTGGTTCACGGGCCTCTCACACTGCGTGGCCTTCTCTCAGGTTCGCACGCAGCCTCACATCGCCTTGGGGGGGTTCCCCAGGCGGGCAGCTCCCCTCACTGCTCCAGTCTCAGCATTATGGACACGACACCCCCTCGCCCAGCCGCTCCATGTTCCCCAACCCAGCTCCTCCCAAAACACAAGCACCCCTACTTTCCCACTCCTTCAGAGCACCTACAAGATTTCGTAATTACGTGCATCTGCCGGCCAATTCTGGTTTGCTTTCCGCTAGGAGTTCCAGGAGTCTGCTTTGGTCAAGACCTTTCTAGCACCGAAAGCTGTCTGATACAAGGTGCTCAGTAAAATGTGGCTGAAGTTTTTTTTCCCTAATAATCTAGGACTGACTCCTTTTCCTTATTTGCTAGTTTCCCTTACAACCACTGGAAATACTCGATTCGTTTTTATAAGTCTTCTTCAAACTCTTAAAGCCAGCATTTTCAAAAGTAACCACACAAGAGGACAGCTGATTACAGGCACACGCTTTCATGATTCCAGCATTTTGAGACACATGCACTCATGCAAAGTACCTTTTACTGTGAAGAATAAAAAACAACTCTCATCTTGAAAGTTCTGAACCATCTAGAAGGATAAAGCAGATAAATGATTAGGATCCAACGGTCTTTTCTGAGCTGATAAGAGTAAAATTAGAAGCTACAGGAAAATGTCAGAATCTATGTATCTTTGCACACAGAACTCAGTGGTAAAAAAAAAAAAAAAAAAAAAAAAAAAAATGCCTTCACGAAGGCAGTGTGAGGTAGTCGAAGTTTACACCTGCTGCACTGGGCAGGACCCCATGCTGACCATGCTTGCCCATGACTAGCCCCTGAGACATCGAAACAGCTCATCTGACCCCCTGGGAGCTGCCCCACCCCCACCCCGGGCCCTGTGAATAATGACTCTTAAGAGAAAGTCCTGGTGTAAGCACTCTTCTATTACCTGCTTGTCACTGAACACCAGGGACACAATAACCTTAATGTTCTTAAAACTTAGTCATCAAAATAGTGGCCAAAAGGAAGATACATCCTAACGCCTCCTTGCATAAAACGGGGCAAAGCCCTGCTAACCCCAAAGTTCCCCGGTGAACGTCTAAGGGGTGAGGGGTGGAGGTGCCTGAGCCACGGGTCTCCTGGATCTGTAGTCCTTATGTCACCGGGAGACCCAAACTCTTGTTATAAATTCTTACAGATTTGATCGCAACTCTGAAATTGATTCTCAGGAGTACTTGCACAAGAGACCGCAGGATTTCCCATAGTTCTTCCACGAGACAGAGAAAGTGTGCAAAAGCAAGGGGCGTGCCAGTTCAAGTTACCTGGTCGCTAACAAGAATGTGAATACCGGTGGGACCCTGTCTGTAGACCTGGTTAATTTGGTGGAAAGGAATATTAAACACCGATGCAAGTTTTCGAGCAACTTCTGAAGCGACCATTTCTTCCAAGTAGATCGCATGATAAACTGAAATAAAAAATAAGAACAGCATTTTAGCAGTAATCTTTGATCTGTTTTCCACCTCATCCATAGGAAGATCACCCTTTCAAAGTACTAAAAACCATACATATAAAAATTAAAAATGGGAACTAGTATTTCTTTCCCCCCCATTACTACCTGCTGAAATCTGATACTGTATGAACTCTGCTGGGGCTCCTAGCTGGCTCAGCTGGTAGGGTGCACGGCTCTTGATCTCAGGGTCATGAGTTTGAGCCCCACATTGGGGGTGGAGATTACTTAAAAACAGGTATAGAATCTTAAAAAATTAACTATGCCGCACATACAATGTAATAACCATTAACCGTAAACTGTACGAGAGGATCTGAGGTTTTCATTTTTCTTACAGGAATTAACTGCAAATGGGAACAGGGGACTTTTTGGAATGTTGGGACTCAAACTCCATAGCGGTAATGGCTGCAAAACTCTAAATTTACTAAAAATATCCTGAAATGGTTTACTTACAATGGAAGGATTTTACGGTATATAAATTATAGCCGAAGAGAGCGGTTTTCAAAACCGCCACGTGTTTCTAACAACATATAAGAAGAGCCAACCCTGTCACTGTTCTGGACTCAGTGATCCTACTACTGGGAGTATACCCTAAGGAATAAAAGCCGCCCCCCGTCCCCCCAAAACCATTAACCGCGTAGAAGACCCACACAAACAGCTAGGGGCGTGGACGGTGAAAGCTGCTGCTGTTTCCGAGTCACAGCCACAGGCCACCCAGGGTCCTGTGTCCCTGCCACGTGGAACCCCGCAGCAGCCGTCACGTGCACAACACCCAGTCCCTCTGCAGTGAGCACGGCCCCTGTAGGTCCCACTCGGCCACAGACCCCAGGCAGTGCTAGAACTTGGCTTCCCCGAACAAGGGGGTTTTCTTGTGTTTACAATAATGGAAACCTCTGCTAATCACACATTACGAAAAGCCTAGAATGTGGAACTACAATTAAGGAAAGCACAGAGCCGATCTAGAGCGGAGCCCCCGAACTACAGCCTGTGTGAGCCAAACCCTGCCCTCACTTGCTCTTTTCAAAACCACCGTGTGGCCCCATCCATCGCTACATACGGTCTGTGGTGGTTTTGGGGCCACAGTGGCAGAGCCGGTGGGAAAGAGATCCCGTGGTCCACAAAGTGGAGACCTTTACTACCTGGCCTTTTATGAAAGTTTGCTGGAAACTTAGAAAACCCTTGATGAAGGGCTGAGATGGCCGCTGTTTCCACACATTCCTCCACAAACACTTTCCCAAGTATGACGGGCCTGACTCTGTACATGTAAATGATACACAAAATCTCGATGATACACGGAGAGCTCCTTAGAATTTCATCCTTTTAGACAAAGACTTTTTTTCGTTAGTCTCAAAAGTCACAGCTTTAAAGTCAAATGGAAAATGGAAAAGCTCACAGGAGTGAGGCTTTCCTTGGGATTTCTCAAACACCGTGTTTCTCAGAGCGCGACCCAGTATTCGGGTAAATGACTGCCACTGTGAATGCCATAACACCGTTCTCTCCGGAAAGTGTGGGGTGTGCTGCCCTTGATTTGGAGTGTGGGAAGGAGGAAGTATTACCACTCACCCAACCTGACAAATGAGAAAACACATCCTTTAAAAGAATTGCGTTTGTTTTTAAGGGCCACACACAGAAGAGGGGAGAAGAGCCGAGATTCGTCTCTGCTCTACAGCAATCTCTTACACAAGTAAGGAAACTCTAGGCTGAGAAGCCCGCCCATAATGGCATCGAGTGTGTTTACAGTGTCACAAGCACAGGGAGCCACTCAGCACCCAGCGCTGGCCAGCTGCCTGTCGGAGACAAGTCCACGCGCTTAGTACTGTTATACACACGAATCTTTGCACGTGGGATATTTTAAGCTCCGCCCCCCAACCCCCGCCAAGCCAGTCAGTAAAATAGAGGGAAAAAACAAAAGAGACGCCTTCCTGTTTTCTCACCAAGCTGCTGCCGTCATATTCGCCGTTTCAGTAAATGTGAGATGCGGGGAGGAATAAAGGCCAGCAAACTCCAAAGAGCACTCGGGCTGGTCTCGCTTGTTAGGTACTTCTGGTGCCAAGGGCCACACACCCAGGAGACGGAGGTGTGGCGGAAACAGCCGACAAGGGTGGCTGGCGGCCTCCCCGCCCCCCCCCCCCCCCCCCAGGGCCGGGCCCCACGCTGCCGCCTCTCCCTGCTGTCGGGACTCCGAGCGGCTGGGCAGTCTCGCCGGGACTAGGGTCACAGCCCCGCTCGGGGCCCTCCTGCTCCCACCGCGGTGTCGGAGAGGGAGGGGCGGGAAGGCTCGACACCCTCGGCGCCCACCGGTGCCCGTCGGTACCCACCGTAGGGTGTCCCGCCGCTGCCCTCGCCTCCGCCGCCCGCCAGCTGCCGCCCCTGCAGCGGGGAGCCGCTCGGCTGCTCCTGGCAGACATAGATGGTCAAGCGGGGCCTCACCGACCTGCAACCAGAAGAGGCCACTCGTCAGCCCAGGGGTGAGGCCGCCCACAGGGGGCCAAGTAACTGCCGGAGCCTGAGCTCGATCTCCTTAGGAGGACTTTTCGGCATTATTTCATCACACAAAAGAATCCACGAAGAAAAAGGTAAAAACGCACCCCTCACGCCAACTATCACAGGCGGTCTCATCTGATGATCCAGACTCTAAACCATCGAGATGGTCTGTCAGATGCCGGTAAATTTAAGTTTCAAGATTAACTCGGCAATTTCAAATCAGTAAGATTCCACTTCAATGGAATTCTCATGCCACAAGTCTAGAAACAGCAACGACCGTAAATGGGCCTCAAGAGCCAGCATAATTTACAATCCCATCGTTGTCATTCACAATTACGACTTTACATTTTAGCAACTAATGTTTAGGAGGAGTCACATGACCTTGGAAAACCAGATTCTGTACCTCTCACCTAAACGAGAAGTCTGTTTTCTTGGAGACAAACCCAGCGGTCTTCAAGAATCAGTACCGCCCATGTGCATTCCTACTGTCTTACAGTCTACTCTGCCCCCATCAGTGCCTGCCTCTTATCTGGGCCCACCCTGGGGGTGCACACGAAACAGTCTCCTTGTGAGCACGATGGGGCCCAGGCCCCGCAGCACACGGGCACGCGCCAACCTGCCACGGGAACACGTTCTGCCCAAATTCCCCACAAAGAAGGATGCGTCTTTACTTCAAGCAAACCGTTCCTTTTAAACACAGTACTTTACCTTGACTTGAGTGAATTATAGAGCCGAATGCCATCGGCTGCACCACAAATTTGTACTAAATCCTCCTTTGTCAGTTTTAATAAGTCGGCACCTGGAGAACAGCAAAGAGAGATTCTTCTCAGAGACGTGGAAAAAACAAGCAGGACGGGCCGCTTGGAGCACCTGGCTTCAACACAGTGAACCCCCCCCTCAAAACCATCGCACCGCGGCCTCCATATACCCGCACACGCAAACTACACAAATGCAAGAGTGAGCGTACACAGTCCCTGTCCCAGAGAGCCTAAGACAAACGCTTCCATGTTCCAGGAGCTCAGCTAGGATGCCTGGGTGGCTCAGTCGGTTAAGCATCCGACCTAGGCTCGGGTCACGATCTCGCAGTCTGGGAGTTCAAGCCCCGCCCCAGCCAGGCTCTGTGCTGACAGCTCGGAGCCCGGAGCCTGCTTCGGATTCTGTATCTCCTTCTCTGCCCCAACCTCACTCATGCTCGCGCATGGTCTTTCTCAAAAATAAACATTAAAAAAAAAAAAAAAAAAAAAAAGGAGTCCAGAGGCCCAGAGGCGGGTGAATCAGATCGGTGAGCAGGGCCTTCCAGGGCTGTCTGGTCCTAGTACATAACTTCACCGCCCGCCTTGTTTTGGCTATCTGGCAGTTGTGTAGATAAACAGGATTCTGTGACCCCAGATAATTAACCTTGAGATCACAACAATAATGTTTTATTTGACAAGAAGAGGAAATGAAGTCTCAAGTTTTGGGGACCCACCCATTCACTCGAGATGGTAGCAGACCAAGGACTCGGCCTCTTCGTATCGCAACACGCACTGTAAAGTCAGGCCCCCTGCAGCCTGTCGCCGCAGCCGGTCTTAATACGAAGCATGGCACAGAACTGCACGTTATACCTTAAGAACTACGAACTCCCCCATAAATCACTGGTGAGCGTAAGTGTCACGGTATCCGAGATCCGCTTTAAAATATGACACAAAAGGGGGAGAGGGAGTGGCAGAGAGCAAGACTGACCGAAGGCTGGGACGGTTACACGGAGCTTCATCGTCCTCTACCTTGTGTGTCTGAATGTGTCCATGATCTTGCTCCCCCCACCCGCCCGCTATTAACACTCGAAATTTAGTTTATTGGTAGAATGTAAATGCTCTCTGGGATTAAGGCATGACTTCCCTGTAAAAAAGATCCACTTAGGTATGAAACAAGATAACGGAGTTATCTTTTCTATTTGAACACGAAAGCCTGACAACTCTCCAGCTTATAAAAGACCAGAGAAGCCCGGCTCCGTGAGGCGCGAGCCCCGGTGGTGTCACTGGACGGAGCGAAAAAAGCAAGACTGGCGGCTTCCCGATCTCTCCAGGGCCCACAGCCGTGCCCAGGGACGCTGTGCGTGCATCTCCCGGACGTGCACACGGAACAGGACGGACACTCGCGTGCACAGCCTTTTCCGGAGGTGAATGCCCCGGGGCTCAGAGCCGGTGGCCTCACCCTCCTCCCCGTCCTACTGCCAGGAAGCTCCAGGGCAAGAAACAGCGGGCGGCCGAGCGGGCTGCGTGAGCGCCACTCAAGGTGAAAAGAGCTTAAGACTCTCCAAACAGAAACGAAGGCCCTCCCGGGGTTCCCACTGCCAGGGCTTGCGGTCTGTGCTTCGCTCTTCGTGTGTCTTCCCACGAGGGTTCCAGACGCATCTTCCCCACACACGCTAACACTTTTAAATTTCCAATTTCTCACAGATAAAAGGTACAGTCATACAAAAATGTGGTTACCAGCTAGCAAGACTTTCATCCGGTAGTTCCATTTTATTTTTTTTTTTTCAACGTTTATTTATTTTTGGGACAGAGAGAGACAGAGCATGAACGGGGGAGGGGCAGAGAGAGAGGGAGACACAGAATCGGAAACAGGCTCCAGGCTCCGAGCCATCAGCCCAGAGCCCGACGCGGGGCTCGAACTCACGGACCGCGAGATCGTGACCTGGCTGAAGTCGGACGCTTAACCGACTGCGCCACCCAGGCGCCCCACCGGTAGTTCCATTTTAAAGAGACAAGGAGCTACACGGGAATGACTAATCGTGCACAACACTGCGGCAAGGGGCTGACAGAACAGAACCCGTCTTTGTGAAATCAAGCTCTCCCCTGGGCCAGGTGGGCGCACACACAGGCCTGTCCTCTCCAAAGGCTCGCGCCGTGGCCCCACACGGCCCTGCGGGCGGGGCAGAGTCACCACAAGGGTACCGCGGCCCGGGGATTCCCGGGGTGTTTGGCCAGGGTATGGTAGTTAGGCACAGGGTCCCAGGGCCACCGATGCCGGGGAAGTGCTGGTCCCGCCCTGTGTGGCGCATCTATCAGTGTCCCTCTAAAACAGGCTTCCTGCTGCACCGCCTGGAGGAAGCCCGCTTGGCCCCTTGTAAGAGCCCGTCTGCGTAGCTCACTCTGCAAGAAGACACTTAAGGATACAAAAGACACACCCGAGGAGATTCACATCTCATACTACCGCACAGCAAGAAAGAGGAATAAACTATTGATACGCCCACTCTGATGGACTCAAGGGCATTATGCTGAGGGGCGGGGAGGGGACGCCAACCACAAAGGTCACATACGGTGTGATTCCATTTACATCACAACATTCTCGAAAGGACAAAACCCAAGAGACAGAAAACAGATTAAGGATTGCCAGAGCAGGCACGGTGGGTGAGGGGTGCGGTAGCATGAAGGGAATCCTCGTGGGGCTGGTGTAACCCTGTATCCTAACTTCGGTAGTGGTCATACGAGCGCACGCTTGTGATAAAATGACACAGAACCATACAGACTCATTCCGCCCACGCCAATTGCCTGGTTTTGACGTCGTACTAACATTATGTGAGAAACCTAGCGAAGGGTACACAGAACATCTCTGTACGATCTTTGCAACTTACTGTAAAGCAAAAATTATTTCAAAATAAATTTAATACATGTAATAAAATGAAAAGCAATGCCCAGAACTATATACGCCTGTGCCAAAAGGCAGGCACGTAAGACTGGTGAAGCCACGGACTGTTCCGGAGTCAGGTTCCCACTACAAGAGGTATGCAGGGTGTTACCACTGGGCAAGGCCAGGTGACAGGTATGCAGGACTTCCCAGTACGTGTTGACAACTTACTATGGATCCAGAATTACTTCACATTTTTTCTTAAAAATTAAGGTTAATGAAAGTCCAGAAACAAGTACAAAACACTCACGTACACACACGCGCACAAAACATACCTGAAAAATTGGAAAACAGTCTTGTGTAAGAAGAGAATCGGTTTTTGAGCAGCCATTGTTGTGTTTCCTGGATCGTGGCTGAAGGCTGAAGTTGCTATTAACAAAGAAAACGAACATAAACAGAAAAAACAATTCAAACTTAATAAAAAATAATCCAAGTCCCTGGCGTGTTGTGAAGAACATTTAAACAAAACACAGAAACCCTGCAAGTTTAAAGTCCAAGAAGACCCAAGGGGAGCACAGGTCTGACTACCCAGAGACCCGAACAATGACTCGCGGCCCTGGAAGAGCCTTAAAAACGCAGGACCTTTACAGCCTCTGACGGGTTCAGGACAAAGATACTTACTTCACTAGAGGGCTGTGAAACTCCATCTCCCTGATGATTTGGGGAAGAAGAATTGCTAGGGAGAACGGAAGGAAGGAAAGGAGGATTATTACACACATATATTTAAATCAAGACGTTAAAAGGTGAATTTACTGTGGGACAGAGCATATAAATCTGCAAATTAACAATGTTGGCACCACCGGTCAGGGAGTGAACAGGACGATGCAATTAAGCCAGGAGGCTGTTTAATTTGCGCCTCCTCCTTCTCCAGCAGTTCTAGTAAGAACTTCCAGTTCTATGAAACATCATCTCCAAGGGCTTCATGAAAATGAAGGCTACGCATTCATTTTAGTAAGGAAAAAAATATGAGAATCCAAGATGAACAATTTGAAATTAACTGCAAAACACACACACTTTACTAAGGAGCTACAAGAAATGGTATAATGATCCTAAGCCAACACGGAAAGTGTCCCTTAATTAACACATTTATCCATCATTAAAGACGGGGACATTCAAGGCAGTGGAAGGAATAAACGGGTGCCGCCGTCCTCGGGTTCCTAAGGGAAAATGAAAACAAAGGCGACTCCACAGAGAGGGTGGCGCCTTCCTGGTCCTGTGCTCTGCCTCCTCTCTTAGCATCTGTCCTTCAATCGCTTCAGTTCTGACACTGACTGGTGACCGTCCTGGACCCACTGGGATGGGGACGGCTCCCGGACGGTGCGCGAGCCCACAACCCACCCCCGAAGTCATGACCGTCACGCCACCCAAGAGGACTCGGGACCGGGCTGTGACAGCAGAAGGGCCCCCACATGGGGACACACCAGTCCCTGGTCTCCCCGACGTTCCTCCTCTTACAGCGCAAACATCTACGACCTGAGCTGCCCACCAGTCTACTCCTCTGCTTGTCTTCTCATCAGACCCTGTCGCAGACCGGTCCCTGTGTTCCCTCAAAATGCGGATGTTGATCCCCACGCCCCACTCCCTGCATGACCGCACAAGGAGGCGGGGCTGTGGGGCAGGGACCAGGAAGGCGAGGTCCCACGGGCGTCCGCCCCATGGCGTGAGGACACAGGCAGCCGCCATGGCGGAGGGCCCCCGCCAGAGCCACCAGACCTCACGCTCCCAGCTCCACGACCTCGGGAGACGAGCTTGCACCGTCTCTAAGGCCCTGGGGGGCTGGTGTTCCCTTCACGGCGGCCAGGGTGGACCGTGACAGACCGCGTCGGGGCAGCCAGGGCGGAAGGAAGATAACCTCTCCCTCGGCAGTCTCCTGTAACTCTCCTTCCCAGCGAGAAGCTTCCAGCAACAGGGGGCCTCCGATGTGACCCGCCGGCATGAGCTCTTCGGCAGAGGGCGCCTGCGGCACCCCCACGCACAGGCCCCGGGGTCTCAGGTGCAATCCCAACCGAGAGGAACATGGAACGAGTCCACCGTCTCCGGGTCTAAAACCACAGTAAGGTTTTAGAAACGAAAAGCTCTTCAAGTTTAAAGACTCACCAATAAACGTAGTGTGTGTAGCAGGAGGGCAAAGGAACAGGGCAGAAAACAGCCCAGATATGGTGCGATTCAAGACCAATGAACGTCCTAAGAAAGGCAGTCTCAATACCTGCAAGCCCGTTCCACTGTGGCAACTCACCGTCCTTCTCTCTCCAGGACTCCACTAATGTTCCTTCTCTCTCACCTAGGATGTATCTGGAAAACGCCCCCTTTCCTACAACTTCCACAGTTGTGAACGTGTGAGGCACCAGGGCTGAGAACAGAAAGGCCAGCAGGCAAGGAAGAGACGACTTTCCTCTCAAACCGAGGCGGCCGGACCCCACCACTAAAGACTTCAGATCCGTGTCAACGAGCAGACGCCGTCAACCAAGGAGGGGATGGGACGGGGCACGGCCCGGGCCGCCCCGGGCGCACGCCGGCAGGAAGCAGTACCTGTCTGGGACGCTGCACGTGCCCTGCTGTGGGGAGGTGAAGGCGGGCGCTGTGGAAGGGCTGCTATTCACGTAGGCTGTGGGGGTATCGGGCCACGGAGAGCACTAAGGACAGAAACAGAAATAAATTAGCGAGCTGCTTTTAGAAGTGTATGAAGAAGTATTTCTGCAAGTCACTCTCTAGTCTGGCCAAATGCAAGGTCATAAAACACAAGACACTTGACACTCATCAAGGAACCTCACAGAAACATCAAATTCACTGCCGCGTGGCCTTTACGTGCCACCTGCGTCCATGCACGGACTCATCACGGGGAAGGCCTGAACTGAGGACAGCAGCGAAGACGTATGCAGGCATTCGAAATGTACACTTATGCACAGCCGGCTTTCAAGACCCCTCCCCTTCCTCTGTAGCGAGGGTCTCACAGGCACCTATCAAGGTTTAGGAACTGCAGAGGCAAGGACGGTTCGGAAGCATCCGACACGTATGGTGACCAGGACAGTGGCTCTGTCCCCCTAGTGCTCCTCTGCTCTCCTGCCCCAGCAGCACCCTCACCAGTACCCACTCGCCTCCTGGATTCCTTTAAGGTTAACAGTCCCCAGCCAAGCAAGGCAAGGCGGGCCTAGCGTCGAAACCCATCAACTGTGCACGGTGCTGCCTATGTCTCTCTACCGGTCTGCGCATGTCTACACACGCTTCTGGCTTCTCTCTTCTGAAAGGGGCATGGTGAACTAGGACAGCTTTCAGCCTAGGCACCATTCTGAGCACAGACAGAGCAAAGACACAGACACGTGCTATTACAATTAGGAGAAGTGGAAAAGCTAAGTCAAAAGCGTGCTGAGCAGGTCAGGGCGACCGAGGAGGAGCTTCAGACCTAAGCAGGAGTCCACCTCACTCCCTGACAGAGTCCTTAGAGTGAGTCCGTGGGAGGACGCGCTCGGTTGCCAGGCCCCCTTCGCGATCACCCTTCTCAGGTTTTACACAAAAAAGCCATCATGTCTCACCACGGCCAGGGGACAGAAGACCCTCCCCCAAACAAAGCAAAAGACCAAAGATATCGGGATAAATCAGAAAGTACATGACTCTAAAACAATGCTTCTGTATATGTCGGGTGGTTTTCAACTCCTTGCCTTCCAACACTTCAGGAATACCTAGCGTCAGCTGACACCTACTCAAGTAATCGACCAGATCATAAAAAATAGGTCACTGGGATTTGGGGCAAATGACTCAAAAGGAATTGCAAGACCTGAATGACACCACTCAAAGAAAAGTAAGCACGTCGAAACAAAGTTTCTTTTCTCTACAAAAAAAAAAAAAAAAAAAAAAAAAGACAAATGTAGAATGTGTCTGCATTCTGCCCTGTCTCATCCTTCAACAGGCATTTCCAATAACATTTCTATTTTTACATTTAACTGTTTATTAATAATTGTATAATTTGTTGTTTTGATAAACTGGTACCAACAATAAGTAGCTGGCTGGCTCAGTCAGGAGAGCACACAACTCTTGATCTCTGGGATGTGAGTTCAAGCCCCACATTGGGTGTAGAGTTTACTTTCAAAAACATTTCTCAACAGACTTAAGAGCCTTATGGTCAGAGAAAATATTAAATTTCAGTTTGAATACATCTGTCATAAAGAAGTAATTAGGGTGCTGGTTAAAGGATTTTCAGGCGTAAGAGTCTGTCGTATTGACATGAAATTATTTATGGCGAGTGGAAGAGAAAACAGATCAAGGAGGAAGAATGGGATAAAATTTCAGGCATAACTACAGAGCTCCATCATGAACTTTTTATTTAACATTTACTTATTTTTGAGAGAGAGACGGAGAGGGAGAGAGAAAGCGAGTGGGGGGGGGGGGGGCAGAGAGAGAGGGAGACACAGGATCCAAAGCAGGCTCCAGGCTCTGAGCTGTCAGCACAGAGCCCAAAATGGGGCTCGAACCCACGAACCATGAGATCATGACCTGAGCCATCACCGACTGAGCCAGCCAGGTGGCCCCATCATGAACTTTTTAAATGAACAACAGTTGGGTGTTAAATTGCTATGGTATTTAAATTCGGCAGGATACACTTTGAAAAGCAACGTCATAGTTGTATCTTAAATCGACCACCCATTATGTGTCCCCTCGAAAATGGGAAAATTGACCAGAGTGTTCCAACTACTACCAACTTTCAAAAAGAAATCTCATCTGCCCAGAGAGCACCACTGAACTTACTGCACGCACACCAATTTCACTGTAAGTGGCCTTTTACGCATCAGTGCCCACTCCCCTGCAACTAGGTCGTTTCTCTTTCCATCTCACAAAGTAACACCGCCTCATCTTGCAGTCTGAGGAGCCCAACTGGCAGATCTAGCAAGTTCTAGGTGTCACATGTTCACGGTCCTCTCCACTACCTGGAAGACGGTTCCCTTGCTACACCATAAAAACTATGACCATGTCGCATAACATGTACATCTAAATAAGGTAAACCTTTTAGTACTAAGTCTCCCCAAATCTGTTCATCACTGCCAGCTGTCTGAGGAAATGAAGCCATCAAAAGCTCCAAGTTAACACGGCACAGTAATACGGCAGGGACACCAAATTTATGAAACCTCCATAGACACACCTACTTCACTTTTACACAACGAGATTCCTTCACCAGTAGGAAAGCAGGGATGCTAACAGCTTACTTCTAAAACCTGCCCAATAAATATGAGGCTTGACTCACTGAACACCAGGAAACCAGTGAAAACTGGTCCTGTTGGGAGGCCTCGGCTTCTAAGAAAATGATGGGTGCCAAGTTCTTAAATGGCCAGGCTGAATGAAACACCAAGGCCCGCTCTCTATTTTATAGGTTTCTCTTGCAGTCTCAACTGGAGAGGGGAAGGGCATACCCACGAAGATTTTCACAATGTTTCTTCTACCCTGTCGTGCTTCCCTGTCTTTAAGCAATGGGGGGTGGGGGACACCTCGCTGCCTCAGTCATGAGAGGGTACGACTCTTGATCTCAGCACCCCACGTTGCGGGGAGAGACTACTCAAAAATAAAAATCTCTAAAATAAAAAATAAATAAAAAATAAAAGAAAGCGGGCACCTGGGTGGCTCAGTTGGTTAAGCATCCCACTTCGGCTCAGATCATGATCTCACGGTTCGAGAGTTCTAGCCCCGCATCGGGCTCTGTGCTGACAGCTCAGAGCCGGGAGGTTGCTTCAGAGTCTGCGTCTCCCTCTCTCTCTGCCCCTCCCCCATCCTCTCTCAAAAATAAACATTAAAAAAAAATTTAAACAAACAAATAAAAAAAAAATAAGCAACGGTGCAGTGCCCACGTTCCTGAGGAAAGCCTGTGATTCATTATGGCTCCAGCAATACCCGGCTTGGACTGGTGTGGGCACGGTTTCAGTGCACCGTGAACAAAGTCCCTCCCCAGGTAGACTGGAGAATGCTGGCCCGTTTTAGACCGTAGACATTGGCAGCCTGATCTGAGCCAGTAAAATACAGCTCAGGGACAAAGACCAACAGACACATTAAAGGGGTTATCGTGCAGCAGCTGGCCAGAGCCAGCTGTAGGGCCTCTACTCAGCGTGGGACCATTTCAAACAGCACCTGGTAACAGGTGAGCCTGCCGTGCTTTCCTAACGAAGGCCAAGTGTAACTACCCAAGAACTGTAAGAAATGCTGGCCTGCCTTTGTAGGTACTCGCACAAATATACGAAATGCTGTGGACTTTTTTAGAGGAACTAATCTGTACTTTTTCTTCAACAGGTTTCAAAGAGGAGCTCTCGCCACCCCCTACGAGTATCTTAACCAAACCAAATACAGCCCAGGGCAGCAAGCAACACGCTCTAGGAAGATGTGAAATCCCAGGCCAGTGAACTGCTGACGTTTTGCATACTTTAGACTTAAGAGTCATTAATAATTTACCAACAATTCTACCACCTCCAGATTAGCTCCGGACTATAATAGATTTCCTCAATTTACGAGTTATCAGAACGCATTCCTTTTAATTAAATAGTTTCTAACAAGAAAGGAAAAGCAACTTGAGTTACCAGGATCTCCCCAGAAAAGTTTACTGAGAACGATTTGCGAGTCTTCTGCTGGGAAATGCAAAGAAGATTGAAAAATATAAAACTGAAGGGGGCCCAGGGGACCCTGGGGAGGGAGCATATAGTGGTCCACACAAGCTTTGATCCAAATCAGAAAAGCCCAGTTAAAGAAAACGCATTATGTGCGCTCCCTATCCAGACATCCACTTTTCTGTTTTACTGCACAAAGAAGCACTTGAAATATTTTCACTCAATGCTTTGATCTGGAAATGAGGGTCCTGTGATAAGGCCTGTGACTTTCATATTCTACAGAGAATTGCATACACACGTGTTAAGAGTGAAAACGTCACGTCTGGCACCTTGATTTTACAAACACTGCCATGATGAGTAGAGTAGCCATGAATACAGATGATGACTTTTGAAAATTACTGAACGCTCTGTGTTCACATTTACTGCGGGTACCCGGTGATCTAAGTTGAAGTAACAAGAGAATGCTCTGTGGACTGTTAGATGAAGAGCTGTGTCGTCAAATAAAGACATGCTGTACTTAAGGTGACAAAGCCAAAACCCTCGACTGCGTGTCGGGAGAACCAGGTCTCAGTGGAGCAAGATGCACTCGCTGTTCTGGCCCGAAGCACAAAGTCACAATGCAGGAGCCAAGAGGAAACACTGATGCAAAGACTTTTTTCTACCAGTGCTGCCAAACAGGCTTTTAAAAGCACAGACAGACACACATTCTTAAACTACATGCAGGGAAATGTGACACAAAGTATCGCCTGTTAATGTCAAGCTTGCTGCCACCATTTCTCTAGATATGCATTGCATTTTCTTATCAGTTGTACACATGAGAAAGCAAAACCTTTTTTAATTACACAAAAATGATCAACTCTTTTACTAAAGAGAGTATTTTCCATTAATTTCAATGCTCTTGAAGGAAGTGTGTGTGCAAAGGAGAGACAGGGAGGGAGGGAGGAAGGAAGGGAAGGAGGAAGGGAGGGAACACATTTCTGAGTGTCGTTTTTCCTTCCAAAACCACCCAATACGGTCAACTTTGTTTTAAAGTGTTAGATTTAGGAAATTTTCCTCAGTGAGGAACAAACGGAAAGCAGGAAGTCTAAACAAAAGCAAATTAAATCAAGACAAGGACATCAAAAACAAATTTGGCGTTACTTTTCGGTGGAAGTTGATCCTATATCTAACACTGCACAAGGTTTCCTGCACAATGAGAAGAGAAGCAGAAGTCCCTTACACTGCCTCGCTTTGCCAGAGAATCACCGTAGTCTGCTGGCAAAGTCCGCTTGCTGGACTTTTTCTGCTCATGTTCAACTGCATCTTCAATTATAGGCTCAAGCCTCATCTGGACAAACACCAAAGATTGGGATCAATGTCTTTTCATTACACAGAGAAAGATCTAATACCCTGTTTTAGGTCTCTGCAGTCCAATTAAACAAATGTATGACTAGCAGGATTCAAAGTTAAAGAAAATGCAAAACCCCAGCAGTGACAAAAATCAGACATTCTAGGCCCCGACTTAATCTCTTGACAACTTTCGAGGTTTGTAAGGTCTGTTTCTGAGACCCGATTGGGATTTCAGCATCTTCATTCCGGGCCCCACCCAGGAAACTAATCTGTTAACATCCCCCAGTTTAAATAAAACACCTTCCCCCCAAATTTCACAGAGAACGTTATGTCAGCCCACCGCCCAATCTTCCCAACCCTCGGTGGCGAAACCCCTCCTTAGAGTGCTGCTGTGCAGACTGCTGCGTGTTTCTCTTCAGAAACCGGAGCGCTGCTGGGCGGGCGTTACCTCCGTGAGGATGGTGGTGTCGTAGGACGGCTGGTACTTCTCCTTCTCGTGAGCGGTCCTCTTCTCCATCTTCTCTCGGTCCGTTTTTTGTTTCCTGTCTGCACCTTTAGGCTTAAACACAAGGCAGAGGGTTTCGTCCAGCAGGCTGAAGACGGAACATTTACCAGCAGCACGGGGCCTTACTTATCACTAACAGCCTTTCTCTCTCTTACCTTAAACACTTTGATTTGGCAGCTAGCTGAGTGTAGATGATCTGTGTATTCTCCATTTTCGTTCTGCTTAAAGGTGTCGACCTGGATCCTGAAAGGCACTCCCTTCTCGCCTCCGTGCTTCCGTGGAGTGAATTCTGTGCTGATGCAGTGCACCTGGAAAACAACTCAAGCTGAAGGGGACTCAGAGAACCGTCTACGGAGTCCCCTTCTATTTTACTCCTTCTTGGACGTCCTGCCACAGCCGTACATTCAAGATCTTTTCAAACCAACCCCTGCATATTAGTCGGATGCCCGTCATGAATTTCTCTGTACGGCTCTCCTCTCACGAATCCAACTGGGCCTTTCTGGACTTTCCCCGCTCCAACGCCTCCTGTCCTTTAATGCAGGACTTGTTCCAATCACGGGTACTCTCCTACCTCCACTCTGGACTGAATGATGCTCTCAGACGCAGGGTCCTCGGCCTCGCACACGGCTCAGTCCACGGCAACGGACACCTCAACGTCGAGGGCTTCCGTTTGTCCGCCCTCTCCCGCCACCACCTTGCCTAGCCAGCCCATCCCCTCACTGCCAGGCCTACATACGCCAACTGTGAGACCGACCACCTGGGCAGTGGCCACCTTCCCCAGAGCCCACTACTCACCCTGCCTGTGTGAGCTAACTCCTCTGTCAGCCTTCAAAGTGCACTGAGGACAAGGCTCATTTCCCACCACTTCTGTTCCTCTTCCAATACCAGTACAAGGTCAGCTAATACGAACCATGTCCCTAGTGATTATTAGTTGATGGGAGATACTATTTGGTAGGCCACAAAAACACAAAATACTAAAGATTCTTTACAGTTCACACAAATGAGAGCCTACTTAGGCTCATCAGCAATCACGCAATTTCCCTTTCTGCCTGAAGATTACCTAACTCGGTAGTTTTAATAACACCATACACAAATTTGAACACAGAGGGTATAAAAATTACTACTAAGTATATTTTACACATATTATATTTATGTTTTGAAAAAACTCATCTCTTAGGGATACGAACTGGGTACTTAGGGTGAAATGAAATGCCTGGGAGTTGCTCTAAAGTACTCCATCAACAACAAAAACCATTATTCTTCTTCTCTCTTCATTCTTCTTCTCCTCTCACTTTGGTGGGGGTTTGACATTTTCAATATTAGAATGTCTTTAAATAATGGCAGAAGGTGGGGCGCCTGGGTGGCTCAGTCGGTTAAGCGTCCGACTTCGGCTCAGGTCATGATCTCACGGTCCGTGAGTTCGAGCCCCGCATCGGGCGCTGTGCTGACGGCTCGGAGCCTGGAGCCTGTTTCAGATTCTGTGTCTCCCTCTCTCTCTGACCCTCCCCCGTTCATGCTCTGTCTCTCCCTGTCTCAAAAATAAATAAATGTTAAAAAAAAAAAAATTAAAAAAAATAAATAAAAATAAATAAATAATGGCAGAAGGAATCTTGAGCTGTACACTTTTTTCAATCTCACCCTTTATTTTTTTAAGTAAACTCTATGCCCAACGTGGGGCTCGAACTTACAACCCCAAAATCAAGAGTCGCATGCTCTATGGGCTGAGCCAGCCAGGTGCCCTAATCCTACGCTTTTAAAAACAGCAGCTTTTGGGGGGTGCCTGGGTGGCTCAGTTGGTTAAGCGTCCGATTCCTGGTTTTGGTTCAGGTCATTGTGTCGTGATTTATGAGTTTGAGTCCCTAGCTGGGCTCTGTGCTGACAGTGCAGAGCCTGCTTGGGATTCTGTCTCCCTCTCTCTCTGCCCCTCCCCCTGCTTGCTCTCTATTTCTGTGTCAAAATAAATAAAAATAACCTTAAAAAAAAAAAAAACACCTTTTGTTTCGAAGGGGCACATGCATCCCAATGTTTACAGCAGCAGTATCAACAATAGCCAAAGTATGGAAAGAGCCCAAATGTCCATCGATGGATGAATGGACAAAGAAGACGTGGTATATATATATACAATGGAGTATTACTCGGCAATCAAAAAGAACGAAATCTTGCCATTTGCAACTATGTGGATGGAACTGGAGGGTATTATGCTAAGTGAAATTAGTCAGAGAAAGACAAATATCCTACGACTTCACTCATATGAGGACTTTAAGATACAAAACAGATGAACGAACATAAGGGAAGGGAGCAAAAATAATATAAAAACAGGGAGGGAGACAAAACATAAGACTCTTGAATATAGACAACAAACTGAGGGTTGCTGGAGGGGTTGTGAAAGGGGGGATGGGCCAAATGGGTAAGGGGCATTAAGGAATCTACTCTTGAAATCATTGTTGTACTATATGCTAACTTGGATGTAAATTAAAAAATAAATTAAAAAAAACCCAGGAGCTTTTGCTCAAGAGAAATACATCTTACGAGAAATGGAAGTTTTAATTAGAAGTTTTGATTAGTGTTATTACCAATGGTAAAAGTAGTTTGAGTAATAGGTTAGTCTATAAATGACGGATTTAGTAGGATAACCCCAACTTCACTTTATACACACACGTATACAGTTATGTGTACGTAGGTTGAAAAATATACACATCTAGAAGACATTATAAGATAGTTTACAAACAAGCATTTAAAGAAGAGAACATTGTGTGTCAAGAATTCAAGCTCATCCATGGTCCTTCAGATGACCAGGCTGGTGGACTTCTAATAAGGTAAAACTCCAAACCTGAATGAAAGCAGACGTGCGCTTTGCAGGGTCCCACAGAAATTCAACCGCATTTAACTGGCTTGGATTTGTCCTGGTGTCAATTATTCCCACAGACATTGGAATATCTGTATTTTAAGAAGAAGTTACACAGAAACTCATCTACTACAAATAACTGAAAAGCTTACAACTTTATATCATTACGTGCAAATGAAATCATTCAACACCTCCACGCTGAACCTCTTCCTTCAACGTTCCCATGGTCAACCACACTAACACCCAAGCCCGCCCAACGTGCACGAGACTTTCTCCCACCATGGTTTCTATTTCACTTCATTCAACGCACGATGGATGTGCCAATCGAGAACTAAATAAATGGTTTCAAACTCAAAATTCCTGACTCAGGTTCTTTTAGCACCAAAAAAACCCACTTCATTTCTAAGTACAGAACAACTCAGGGCACGCAGGACCCACTAACACCAAAACTCTCTCCTCACAGTTAAACATGCTGCCAACACAGTGACAGGCACGGCTGACCAACCGCCGTCTCTCCAGAGTCTTCTGACAGCCACTCGTACCTAAATCGAGAAGTCTGTCTCCAGGGCGATTCCACTTCCAGCCTTCGAGTTGCTGATGCTCCGTGTACTGCAGCCGTCTGTCATGGAATACAACTCTTATGATGCTCTATGGAGTAAGTGGGGAAAATGAGCACTTTTAAGCTATTCCAGCTAAAATGCAGAAGTGTTTTCACTTCTTATGCATTAACCTATAATAGACGAGCATGCAAGGAAAATTCTGCTTTCAACATTTTCTAAGTGAACTGCTTTGTTCTTGGAATATGTAGATTACGGGTATAATTATTCGGTGCAAAAAGAATTACAACTCAGAAATAAAAAGCACAAATAAAATGATCACTTAGGTAAAATTTTTATTTAAAAAGTTGACATCGCAACTCAAAATTAAGGTACACGTCCATAAAATCAGAGAGCCAGAATTTGACTTCTATGAAGAAAACATCAGATTACAAAAATGAAAGGGCAGTATAAGCAGACAGAAACCCGGGCACAATGGCAAAACTATTTAAAATAATAGTTAAAAACTGAGGGTTTTTTTTTTTGTTTTTTTTTTTTTTACAGATAGTCAAAGACAAGTACTGAGTAATATACAGAAATGCTGAATCGCTGTACCTTACAACTGAAACTAATATAACACTGCATGTTAATTATACTTCAATAAAATGAAAAACTAAAAAGATAGTCAAGGGACAGGTGGGAGAATGTGCCCACACCCACCAAGAAAAGAACATACATGCTAAAGTCATTCTCTACTATTTACGTGCAAGAGGTTATCTGAGGTAAGCAGTGGGGGGAAGTTCCGCCCACAGGCAAACTTCATCCAAACACTCCGGTTCCCAGGGAAGACTTTACTCCACACACTTGAGGCCAGTTCTCCGCTCTCCACCCATCCCTCCTTCACTTCCCACACGTTTCAGGTGCCAATGATTGTTTGGTTCCAGAAACAAGAAAACAGGTCATGCAATGTCTTCAGATACTAGTGTTTCTGACGCATTTATAAGCAACTTTCTCATGATGCAGTAAGATCATCATGTTTCCAGTCTACGCTCTTGTTTGACTAGGAAATAATCTGTTAGCAACACATACAAATACTACTTTAGTGCCTTGCTTTCCCTACCCACCAGGGTACTGCCCAAAATGTGGCAGAATGGAGAAATATTTTGAAGGAAACTATTAAAAAGCAGCAGTATTTTAATGTGAAATACAGTTGACCCTCGACAGCACAGGGGTTGGAGGCGCTGAACCCTCCCACAGTAGAAAATCCACGTGTAACTTTGGACTCCCCCAAAACAACTACTTAATAGCCGACTGTTTACCAGTTTACCGGTAACATCGACAGCTGAGTAACACACATCTTGTGCATTCTTACAATAAAGTAAGCTAGAGAAAACAAACTTATACTAAAAAATCGTAAGAGAAAATACATTCACAGTACTACGCTGTGTATATTGAAAAAATCTGCTCCTAAGTGGACCCGCGCAGTTCGAACCCTTGTTGTTCAAGGGTCAACTGTAGTTTACAAAGAGGCCAAAACAGTCACTGGGAGCAAAGTGGAAATCTATAAAGGCACAGTCACAGCTCTGGTTCGTGCCACCCACCTTGCCACCTGCACCCATGTCTGCGGGGCCTGCCCGGCCGTCCACCAGCACCCACGTGACACCACCATCCGCGGGCAGTGAAGACCTCACGGGGAAGGTGCACGGGCTGGCGGGGGCCTTGGGTCACGTTGCCCAGCAGGCCGAACTCAGAATAAGGTGCAGCACAGAAATGTCATGATTTTGATTCTTTCGTATTTAGTGAGAACCAGATCGAATGCACAAATTCAGATGAAAATAGTATGAGAATATCGGTATCAGATTTAAGAGCTTGACTAAACCTCATTCTAGGAGGCCAGACTAAGATGGCACAGTAAAGAATATTAGAACCAGAGTTAAGAAGTGGCAGCCTATTAAAAAAAAAAACTTATTGGGGCGCCTGGGTGGCGCAGTTGGTTAAGCGTCCGACTTCAGCCAGGTCACGATCTCGCGGTCCGGGAGTTCGAGCCCCGCGTCAGGCTCTGGGCTGATGGCTCAGAGCCTGGAGCCTGTTTCCGATTCTGTGTCTCCCTCTCTCTCTGCCCCTCCCCCATTCATGCTCTGTCTCTCTCTGTCCCAAAAATAAATAAACGTTGAAAAAAAAATTTAAAAACTTATGTGAACTTGGAAGGGGAAAAGAAAGTCAAACACCAAGAGAGCCAGCAGGGGAAAGGGGCCCTAACAGCAAGAACGAGCAAAGCGAGCACATCACCAAGGCTACTGAGCACGGTCAAGTTCCAAAGCACCTCTGCCGACCCGGCATTTGTTCCCTAAGATGCCCCCACCATAGCAGACTCAAAGATCGTGGAGTCAGGAAATTAGACACCAGATTGCTGCACAGTACTTCTGGGATATATATTGCAGATAAAAAAAGGGTGGGCTTCTTAAGAAATTCACCCTGCAGTCCTCTGGCAGGAGCAGACTGTTGCTCTGAGTCCCAGGCAAGCTCTCGGGCTCTAACTTGATGTATTCTGGCACAGCCACCAAATATCAGACATGTGGCTTATCATGTGGAAGATGAAACTTATTGAAAACCTTAAAAAATGTTTTTAATGTTTATTTTTGAGAGAGAGAGAGAGAGAGGGGGAGGGAGGGAGAGAGAGAGGGAGAGAGGGAGGGAGAGGACGAGCGGGGAAGGGGCAGAGAGAGAGGGAGACACAGAACCCGACGCGGGCTCCAGGCTCTGAGCTGTCAGCACAGAGCCCGACGTGGGGCTCGAACTCACAAGCAGTGAGATCCTGACCTGAGCCAAAGTCAGACGCTTAACCGACTGAGCCACCCAGGCGCCCCAAGACCTTTTAAAACTTAACCTTTCCACTCTGTAAGCTAACTGTTTAGGAAAACTGATGCTTTCAAAATAAGTGCCCTTGTCGAGGAAGAACATGCTTGTTTAATGACAGCAAAACACCCACTTTGCACTTAGAGGGAGACGGTTTCTCTACTGTCAACAGTTCACTTACCTCATAATGAAGAGTTGTTTTTGCCTTAATTTCTTAACTGGCATGAATCTTGTAAATTAGATGTTTTTACATATTTTAATTTGGAAGTAAATCCAAGAGGCAGAACTTAAAGCAATCAAGCAACAACTTAATTAACCCTGCCATTCCAAGTTAACCTGACTGGTATTCTCGAGTAGCTTATCACAGGCACCCAGGATACACGTGTGTTTATCGTAAACCACGTGAGAAACACATGTGGATGCGTCATCGCACCATTCTACCTCTGTCATGCTTAAATTTTACCATATAAGTAGCTTTCTATCAACGTCTACCATTTTTAGGTCCAGTTTTCAGGACCTCAATACCAGGCACATAATGCCTCACTTCATTTTGTACAGGAGTCTACAATTTAAACAACGTTTCAACACTTCCACATCGATTTTTTTTAAAGCGGCTTCTCACAGTCATCCAATGTAACTTTCACAGTGACAGAAGAATTCACCCACATCTTCCCTTAAAATATATACTCCTGGTGGCATTGTCACAAATACAATTGGCAGATCTGCCTGCAGGTGAACCAGGGCACCCGGTGGCCTGACGACAAGCCAGCCTGGTAGGACTAGGGCATCCCGAGAGGATCTCTGACATCTCGAAGCTTCCTACACACTAGAAGATGAGAGCTGTTAATCTGACCCGACTCACCCTCCGGGGAAAGGACCAAACCCGCTGACCGAGCACAGACCCGACAGACTCAAGGTGCAAACTGGTGAATGTGAGAATGGGAAACAAGCGGTCTCCCTCTGGTCCGGGGAAGATGGGAGCTCTGGGAGTCGGAAGTCTGGGAGCTCACTCCAAGCTGGCAAGACAATGATCAGTGGGGAGCAGACCCCCATCTTTCCTCCAACCTCCCAAAGGATTGGGGTCTTCCTGCCTCCCAGGAACGGAGGAAGCACTAAAACATCCCAAAGACGCTCCGGCTCTCCCAGATGGGCCCAAGCTGCCTTTCCCGCGCTCACCCTCTAAAAAGGCAGACCCACAGAGGTGAGTCTTTCCATGGAACGCCTCTCCATACCGAGCGCCCAGCAGTGCCCAGGCCCCCGGGTGCCTCTCTGGGAAGACAGAAGCGTCAAGAGAACAAAGGTCTGCTTCTCTCACGCTGACACTTAGCCACACTGAAGCTCTGCCTTCCCTCAAGCTTCTTCCAGAAGTCCTGCCCTGTAATGCCACCGAATCTATAGTACAGCACTCTGTGTGACAGGCAGAGGCTAGAGGATACCCTGCAGGACACTGGAGGGAGCAGGACGGTCCCGAAGATCTATCCTAAAAGGAATGGACTAGCCAGCCGATGGTTATGCCTCCTACACTTGGAATGACCGCCCTCATTCAGATACGTCTCAGCGTGGACACAGGGTGCACAGAGATCTCCAGTCTTCAGAGAGATTTTAAGAGGTGAAATAAAAGGGCTTTAAAAGTGTCATATGAACACTTAACATTTCCCCCCACATTATTCTTTTACTTTTACAGGAAAAACTTAAAAGTCTCTGTTGTGGTGGTGGTTTCTCCCCCACGGCTGCAACTGTGCTGCCTTAGTGTCCAAAGGGCTTTCACATTTACTTAACCCAGTAACTGCTATCATTTCTGTTTTATAGACAAGGACACAAAATCTAGTTCAAAACGTCAAGAGTTGCAGGATAGCCGTTACTTCTTAAAGTGAAATTAAATGATTTTAAAAGAACGACTCTCGTGCAAAAAAACCTAAACCTGCTACTTTTTTCAGCCACTGCAAACAATACCCGTTAGGAATCAAAATGGATCATCCTTACCTTTACCAATTTTCCAGTAATCTCGGGCATATCTCCCATTTTCCGATTATCCAGCATCCGAATTTCGTAAGACTGACCTATTTTGAACAAATTGTTGAATTTAAAGAAACTGTGTATCACCGACAGTCCACACAAAGAACATCGCTGTTTAACATAAAACTTCAATGGCCTCTCAACTAGAGGAACCATTCAGGTTGATTTTTCTTTCCTACAAACCACATCATCCTTTCCTTCGTACACTATGACAGAAGAATGAAGAGCTTCTCTGACGGTTTATTTTCATGTGCTAGACTCTCACATTAAAATTTTATTATACACACAAGCATAATCCAACACCAGTGTTTTACCACGGCTTTCCTGAGATACAATTCACATGCCATAAAATTCATCCTTTTAAAACCTGACTCGTGCTTAGCATATTCAGAATTGTGAAACCATCACCACTACCAACCATGGGGCATTCTCATCACCCCGAAAAGGAAACTGCACCCCTCAGCAGGCACTTCCCACCCTCACCCCCTCCGCCCCTGGCAACCTCTCATCACTCTCTTTTCTGTCTCCAGGGACTTGCCTGGCTCACGCCGGACATAAACAGTCACATGGTATGTGATTCACCGGCTTCCTTCACTACGCATGCTTTCAGCATTCACGCGTGTCACGGCAGGACAACGGGCAGATATTCTTTCACTGCACTCTGCTGCGTCCCCCTTGGCAGATGCCACGGTTTTTACAACTGGAGGTTTGTGACCACCTGCATCAAGCAGGTCGATCGGCACCATCCTTCCAACAGCACGTCACTAAGAGTCCTCACGCTGTGTCTGTCACATTTTGTCATTCTCAGTATTTCAATTTGTGTAATTCACAGTACTGCAGACTTTTTCATCATTATTGTGTTTGTTATGGTGAACTGTCATTGTAACCCACTGTTTAGCAATAAACAGTGGTTTTTTTTTGAGGTTTATTTATTTTGAAAGGGAAAGAAAGAAAGCGAGAGAGCAGGAGAGGGGCCGAGAGAGAAAGAATCCCAAGCAGGCTCTGCGCTCTCAGCGTGGAACCCGATGCGGGTCTCAAACGCACAAACTGTGAGATCGTAACTGAGCTGAAATCAAGAGTCAGACTCTGAACCAACTGGCCTCCTCACTGCCTGGGCCTCCCAAGCGCCCCGCGATGAAGTATTTTTTTTACCTAAAATATATACATGGTTATTGCACACTGACTAGACCATAGGATGGTGTAAAGAGAACTTTCATGTGCACTGAGGAGCCGAAAAACTCATCTGACTCATTTTACTGCCCTGGTCACTTTACTGTGGTCTGGAACAGAACCTGTGCTGCCTCTGTCTGAGGTGTGCCTGCACTTCACTCCTTTTTATTGCAAATATTCCATCGCAACAACGTACCCCGTTTTGTTTGTCCATTCACTAGCTGACGGACATCTGGTTGGTTCTCCTTCTTGGCCATTAAGAGTAGCGATACTGTGAACATCTGTGTACTGAGTTTCGTGCGAGCCAAGACCACGTTTTAATCCTAGAACCTTCTTCCTGTGACCAATGGACCCAACTCACATTCTCTCACTGTTTAATGTCCATAAGAAAACACAAATAGACATCGACACACCAACCTGTATCATTAGGAACATAAGCTGTTGCCAACAGTCAAGAATGTACTCTGCAACCACAAGAATGATTTCTCAATTACCCATCATTAAGTAGTAACGACGACAGCATAATCTGATATGGAGAAAATCAAGAGTGCTTACAGGAGCACCTGGGTGGCTCAGTGAGTTAAGTGTCCGACTCTTGATTTTGGCTCAGGCCACGATCTCATGGTTCACGGAATCAAGCCCCACATCGGGCTCTGTGCTGACAGTGTGGAGCCTGCTTGGGATCCTCTCTCTCCCTCTCCCTCTCCCTCTCTGCCCACCCCTACTCGCTCATGCTCCCTCTCAAAAATAAATCTACTTGAAAAACAAACAAAAAAAAGGAGTGTGTCTGGTATGCATCATATGAAGCTGAGGATATTTATGATCTAGTCCACAACTCCAATGGCGCATACCCTGTATAAAAATATACAGAAGGTACTAGATCATATGGTCAAAATACAACAAAAGGTTATTAAATCACAACCAAATCACTCCAAGGCTGGTGAAGGAAAACCATTGCATATAGTATGTTACTAAGAAAAAGTCCTTAAGTCCTTCAACAGATTGAGATTACCACTAGCTAACACCATGGCAAAAGACATTCTTAAAAAGTTAAATTTGCAGCATACGTAACAATGGATCTAAACTCAGAAAAACAGTAAGAAATAAATTTTAAAATAAAGCATATGAATAGGTATTTTGAAAACTATACTATTATACATTTAAAAGTACACTCAACCTCACAAAAATTTAGGCAAATTAACAAAATGTTTGTGTTAATTATCACATCAATAAAAAAATGTTTAATTAAAAACCAAGTAGGTGAGGACAGGGGAGAAATAACCTGCCCAGGAGGGAGGGAAAACTTGTCCTGTGAGGATTATTTTACGATCCTCAAAATCTCAAAATTCTCAGCACTGAAAAAATATCAAATCAGGTGCCTGAGTGACTCAGTCGGTTAAGCCTCTGACTCTTGGTTGAGGCTCAGGTCTTGATCTGAGTTTCCTGAGTTCGGCCCGCATCGGGCTCTGTACTGGCAGCGAGGAGCCTGCTTAGGATTCCTCCCACCCCCTCCCGCCCCCACCCCTCCCCCACTCACGCTGTCTCCGTCTCGCTCTCAAAATAAATAAACTTAAAAAAAAACAAATCAAATAAGGACAACATCTCCATGTTCCTGTCTTCCTTTGTATGATTTTTCCTAGTCAACCTAACAGGACACCTCTGTGCTCAATACAAAGTTCAATGTTTTCACAAACAGATCTCAGGATTCGTTGCTCCTGTATTAAAGCACTGTCGATTTCTATTCTAAAATCCAAAGTAAGTTTCTACAACAGGCTCTGTAACACTTGCTCTTCTTTAAATGGTTTCCCTATGGGCGCCTGGCTGCCTAAGTAGGTAGAGCAAGCGACTTCTGATCTCAGGTTTGTGAGTTCCAACCCCACGTTGGGTGTAGATTACTTAAAAATAAAATCTTTGAAAAAGAGATGATATTCACTGAACAACCAGGCCTTCATTGGTTTAATTTCTCCTTCTGTTTGATCCCCTTCCATAAATCTCTTAATAATATAGTTTCCAGAAACATGTCTAGGTTTTAACTGAAATATAAAGAAGACTCCAGTATCAGTGGAGTATACAGTTAACACAACAGCAGTACTCTGATTTGCTAGTCCTATTTTAATTTTTTTATTTTCTTTTAAACTCTGTAAAAAATGTCTATTAATTTATTTTTGAGAGACAGCATGCATGCACCTGCGTGAAAGAGCAGGGGAGGGGCAAAGAGGGAGACAAGAGAATCCCAAGCAGGCTCCGTGCTGTCAGCACAGAGCCCAATGTGGGGCTCAAACCCACGAACCGGGAGATCACGACCTGAGCCAAAATCAAGAGTCAGACACTTAACCAATGGAACCACCCAGGCTCCCACTAGTCCTGTTTCCAACTTTATATTCTGAACTTACCTTTCATGTTTTGACTTTAAGTTTTATTGAGAGAGAATGTGCACACACACACATACATACACACACGCGCACGCGCGCGCTCGCAAGAGTAGGGGAGAGGCAGAGAGAGGGAGACAGAGAATCCCAAGCAGAGTGCACTGTCAGCACAGAGCCCAATGCAGGGCTTGATCTCAAGAACCATGAGATCATGACCTGAGCCAAAACCAAGAGTCCGAGGTTTAACCTAAGCCACACAGGCACCCCTGAAGTTTTGACTTTTTATTCTTTTGGCTGACAGAGTTGCAAACTATAATTGTTGTGAGTTCACATCCCCACCCAGTTTGGTTCCTCAGATGGACTCCAGAGCAACACGGAGCCCAAGGTGTGACAGTCCCCACCACCCCCCATGGCTAAGTTCACAGAATTGATTCCTAAGGTCCTAATATAGAACTTTAATCTATAAAAAGAACCACAGCTAACCTCAGGGAAATGCACAGCTGTCAAATGAAATTAACAAGAAATATATTCTTTTTTGAAACTTCTATCGTTTAACAGTATTTTTCTTTTTTTTCTTTCCAAGTTTTTATTTCTTACATATTGGTTTTCTTCTCTCTTCTCTTTTTTTAACAGTATTTTTAATCCAACAGACATGCTATTTCCTAGGGCCTAAAACCTAGGTTCTCCAAATAGAAGTTGGCCTTCCAATGAGTAGGTATTTCTCATCCGACAGCAGCAAAAAGCTGACCTGGGAAAATCAAGGGGTTCAGAAGTCACATCCCTACCATAAGGAGGGAAGCTTCGAGGACTCAGGTGGAGCTGTAAGACAAGGGGCGGACCAACAGCGGCCAGATCCCCACTCCAGGGGAGAGCCAGCTGCCTTTACTCCACCCTCCAGGGCTCCGCGGCATTTGGACTACAGTCTTTCACTTCGCAAAGTGAGACTAATTCTTGTAACCTAAGGGCAGAGGAGGTTAGCTGCTCAAGCATAAACAGGAAAACACAAATATAGTTTTTAAACTCTGTGCTTGTATTGTTCAAAACAAAAACTGACGCTCCGAGGCATCGAATACAACTTGGAAAACTTGCTCCAATTTACACCTGCCTAGGACGCTAAGACCACACAGAATTTGTCTTTTCTTTATGGTTTTATGCCATGGCAAATATTCTTCAGCAATGGCTGCCCAAGAGGCAGAAGGGGAGCAATGAACTTTAAGGGTAGGCTACCTACCAGCGGTGACCGAGCTACAGCCAAAGAATGGCACAAGCATGTGCCAACACTCAACTGAGGAGACCCATCCATAAAAGGCAGTGGTGAAGGAAGCTTGCATACTTGCCTGAATATTCAAGGTGATTAAAATACGTAAGCAGGGGTCCCCAGACCAGCAGCAGCGGCATCACCTGGAAACTTGTCAGAAATGCAAATTCTCCGGCCCTACTCCAGACCTCTAGAGACAGAAGCTCTATGGGGCACAGCAATCACGTTTTGACAAGCCCTCCGGGTAACCCCAAAGCATGCTACAGTTGGGGAGCCACTGCTATGTGAAGCTCCCAACAGCCAGTCCATCACTACTCTCTCCAACACGAGGCCCTCAGGACCCTCTCCTGGGAGTAAACTTTATATTCAAAAAGCCCTGAGGAAAATGCCAAGAATTAACCATCTTTTCCTTAGCAGCTGAATAAATACCGTATTACAATAAACACTCCCAAAGTGCTGTGCCAAAGAGAAAAACAGCCTGGTTTGCAAGGGCTGGTTATACTATTGTATCATTTTGCACAGGGTTCATTTAATATAATGCTTTATCCACCACTGTGCAATATTACAGGTAATAAGATTTCAAAATCCTTCTTAGTTTAAATGGCTTACCGGTCTACGCCGAAATTAAGAACTAATTCAATCTAGAGCTGTTTAAATTGCATTATGACTCCTTTGCAAGTAACCGCAATGCATTACATTCGTTTCCTTGTCTGACAGCCTCACAACAGTCTAGGATACCTCTTACTCCGTCATTAACGGGTGCTCCACAAATACACTATATTCACATATATGCATTATACATGTGTGTACAGTTCACATATGTGAATATACACACATGCGCAAGCGCGCACACACACACACACACACACACACACGCACAAGCACAAGAGCTCAGACTTGGTGAGATGCCCTTTCGAGACCCAGCTTTGGCAAGGCCTTCAGAGGTAAGCAAGGAGGCGGGACCATATGATGCAAGTGTTTTCATCTAGACTCTAAGAGTAGACGCTGCCCACCTTGTGGAAACAGCTCTGATAACACACAGCAGTGGCCTACGCCGCACCACCCTGGAGATCAGCCACCTGGTACACATTTGCTTCGGCTGACATCATAGTTGTCTACTGCCGCTACAACAAATTTCGACAAACTCAGTGGCCTGAAACTATACAAACTTGTTATCACACAGTTCTGGAATTCAGAAGTCCAGCATAGGTCTACTGGGCCAACATCAAGCAGTCAGCAGGACTGTGTTCCTTTTGGAGGCCTTAGGGTAGAACCCACTTCCTTGTGGTTTTTGGGGTTTTTTTTGTTTTGTTTTTGATGCCACTAATATCCCTTGGCTCATGGCCTCTTCCTGGGTCTTCAAATCTGACTCCGACTCTCCTACCTCCCTCTCTATAAGGACGCTTGTGATTTCACTGGGACCACCTATATAATCCAGGATAATGTCTCCATCCCGACACCCTTTATTACTATTTTTTTAATGTATTCTCTACCCCTAATGTGGGGCTTGAACTCACCACCCTGAGACCAAGTGTCACATGTGCCATCAGGCGCCCCTAACACTCTTTATCTAACCACATCTTCAAAGTCCTTTTTGCTATATAAGGTAAAATATTCACAGGTTCTGGGGATTAGGGCATGGACATCTTTGGGGAACAATTATTCTGCCCACCACAGTTCCTAAGCAGTGCAAAAATGCTATTTCTACAGTTTAAAACTCTGACTGGCTTATTTAAAAGATTGTGATAATATACTTTCCAACAAACCTGGCAAACTTCCTGAGTCACGGAACAGGTATCTAGTACCAGGCTGGGTTCTAGCAATTTCCAAAAACTGCTCATCCAGCTGCAACAGGAAACTAACACATCAACCAAGGTCTAAATAGTTGGTTTCCAGTGTGATCAGAAACCATTAAAGCTACTTAGTTGTAAGTGACAGGAACAGCAATAAAGGTCGTATTGGACTTCCTATGTGTTGGCTAGCTCGTAAGTGCATCTATCCATTAATTCAATTTAATCAACTGCTCTCACCTTGTCTTACGAATCTGTAAAATGCATTTTTTAAGTAAGCTCTATGCCCAACAGGGGGCTTGAACTCATGACCCCAAGATCAAGAGTCTCCTGTTCTACGGACAACCAGTCAGGCACTCCTAAAACGGATTAATAAAACTTCGGGAGTTATTGGGGAACTAAATAACACACATATAGTACTTAGTGCAATGCTTCACACATTGTGAACACTCAGCAAACGTCAGTCTAATACGTCATTACTATAGATGGTGGCTGGCAACTTTTATCAACATGAGAGATCTTTTCCCAGTTTAATAGTAACAGTGATAAATTATGGATGTTTCCCCAGGCCAACAGACAGACACATCCAACACATTCCTTTAAACAGGGGTCTGTGTGTACTCGATCATCCCATGGTATGCACGCAACAGAACTTACTCAACTATTCCCCAAGTAAGAGAAATGCACGTGACTCCCTTGTCATTAGAAATAAAGCTACAGCGGATATCCACGCCCCTACATAGTTTCTTCTGATATTTTTTTATATCTAAAACAGGTTACCATATACACTTAAGGTTCTTTCAAATATGACACTTAAGTCTCAAACAACAGAAGGCCTACCCAAACAATATTAACACCAAAGTTAGGGTACTGCTATGGGTGCTATGGTAGAATAACCTGGGTTGTAAAACCTCATGGATCCTCAATTTACAGATCAAATGAAAGGCTAGCATAAGTTATTCTTCCGTATTTCAGAATACTATTATTTCATAATTATCTAAAATCTACAGCTCACAGTTCAAGGAATTAAAGATCCTATTTAATGATGGAAAAATAATGATAATATATCTTAAGCGAACAGGTGTTAATTCCAATTTTGTTGAAATATACACAAGAAAATACACCCAAAACAACATTTAAAATACTAAAAAGTATTCTTGGCGGGATGCAGCTACAGTCCGTTTTCATCTTTATCTCTTGAGGTATTTCCCAATCCTTCTACAATTAGAGTATGCACTACTGTTTTTACAAGAATAAAAGTTCAGGGGTGCCTGGGTGGCTCAGTTGGTTAGGCACCCAACTCTTGATTTCGGCACAGGTCATGATCTCATGGCTCGTGAGTCTGGGCCACTGCACTGTCGGTGCGGAGCCTGCTTGGGACTGATTCTCTCTCTCTCTCCCCTCCACCGACCCCCGCCCTCCCTTGCTCACTCTCTCGCTCTCAAAAATAAACTTTAAAGAAAAGAAAAAAGGAAACTCTAGATTTAAAAGAAATCTAAAGGAGCAACATGCTTTCAGTATGTATATCCAACAAATGAATAGCTGTGTAACAAAGTACTTTTGTTTAATTTGGTCAGTCACATTGGCCCATGCCCAGACTGCTAAAGGCACCTCAGAAAAAATCCCTTATAATTTCCAAAAGTAAATTCTACACCCACATCCGTTTTCCGCTCTGCCAGCTCTCATTTTCATATCACCAAAACATAATATTCTCATCAAGTGCAGACAAGATACGGGTGGACAAAATTTGACACGGTTTATTTTAGCCACAGACCCCATCCTGGTGCAGCTTGTCTATTTTCAGCACAAACCTGCTTCAGGCCTGAGACCCAGGTTCCTTGCTAGCTGGATTTCTGATTCATTCTCAAGTTCCATATTGAAACCAGGGTTCCTAAAAATAACTGACATCCTTTCCTACTTGCTCCTCCTCTGGATTTGGTCTGAAAAACCCTGTAATAAATCTCGTTCCACAGACCTTATTGATGCAAATCGGCTTCCACAAACTTTTACCTCGTTGGCTCACAGTAAAATGCCGACAATTTCTGTTAACTGAAGCTGTCGAACTTAAGAAACATAATCGAATTGCAAGCTGTTACCGGCAGACTAGGCTGTAGTGCCACCGTGGATATATCGAAGTTCTTCCGGCAAAACACGATCCAGCCATACCAACCTTGGTTCAAGTAAGTGAGCGTCTCGTCGTGCAGTTTGACGGCTGGCGAGGTGGCGGCGCACATCACATACTGAAAGGGTGGGTGTTTAGTCTCACCATCCAACGGAAGGCTGGAATCTTCCTGCTTAAAAATGGGCAATGCCAAGACATCGCTGAAAGGCAAAGGAATCAACATTGACCTGAGTTTGAGTTTAAAATACTTGAAAGCATATAAAAACATGTAGGGGTAGCTTCTTTTAAAACTTTAAGTTCAAGGGCACCCAACTAGGTCAGTTGGTGGAACACGCAACTTCTGATCTTGGGGTTAGGAGTCTGAGCCCCGCGTGAGGTCCGGGCGCTACTTAAAAAAATAAATAAACTTTTATAAAAAAATAAATAAAATAAAAGTTAAGCCCAGAAACGTCATGTAGAATGAAAGAACTATTAATGTTAATCTGGCTCCCCCAAAAGACAGTATTAATAACCCATCTCTCCAGCGTGGGTCGGGTGGGGGGGAGAGTGGGGGAGCAGCTATGATTAGGCAGATAAAATGAGAAGTATTTAATAGTTAATAAAGTCCATGCTGATTAAGCAGGAGATCTAACAATATGTCTGCTACTTCAAAAAACTCTTTAAAAACCTTAAACTCCACATTATTTCTATAAGAAAAAAAGAGCAAGTGCATAGCTACCTGTTTTGAAAGGTAGGTCACACTGGCACCATAAAATCACAAAGAAGCGTCTGATTAAGACGGTACTTTACAAAAAGTGCCCCGCTAGGCCTGGCAAATGCTGGGCATAAAGCTTCAGGCTTCGTCTGAAACAGTGGCTTCTTCTGAGAAGCAGACAGTTGCTGCAGAAGCAGCTGCTATCTCCCCAAGGATAACTTGGCGCACCGGCTGGGGGGATGCGGGGGGGGGGGCTTCTGGGGCACTGCCTATACTCTTCTCTGTTAACCCAAACACATGGATGTGTTTGCTTTGCTTTTTTACAAAAACAGCACAGATATAACTTACATTCCATAAAAACTCACCCTTTTAACCATTCAGTGGGTTCTGGCATATTAATAGAGTTGTACAGTTATCCTATCTAATCCCAGAACATTTTCATCACCCCAAAAAGAAATCTCATGCCCGTTAGCAGTCACTCCCCAGCCCTATTGCCCGACCCTAACCCTAGTCCTGGCAGTGACCTACTGTGTCTCTATGCACTTGCCTTTTCTTTTTTTTTTTTTTTAATGTTTATTTATTTTTGAAAGAGATAGACACACACACATGGAGTGTGGGCAGGGAAGGGGGGCAGAGACAGGGAGACACAGAATCTGAAGCAGGCACCAGGTTCTGAGCTGTCAGCACAGAGCCCGACATGGCGCTCGAACTCATGAACCACGAGATCACGATCTGAGCCTGAAGTCGGACATTCAACCTACTGAGCCAGCCAGGTGCCCATGCACTTGCCTATTCTCAACATTTAATGCAAAGAGAATCCCATGGCCTTTTGAGACTGGCTTCTTTTACTTGAGGTTTTCAAGGTCCCGCTGTTGTAGCATTCCCATTTAGGGATGATCCTCCCTTCAATCAGACGGATCTAACAGATGGATCAGTCTGTTTATCCACCCTGGGGCATCAGGGCTGCTGCTGCTAGTGTAAACCTAGGAGAACTGCCAGGTTATATGGTTACTCTGTTTAACTTTCTAAGGAACTACCAAAGGGCTTTCCAAAGAGGATACACAATTTTACATTCCCACCATTAATGTATGAATTATAGGTATTTGCTTTGGAGATAAATCGCTGTTCTGTACACCTGTATCTTGATAATGTCTCTATGTTCCTTCCTCCATAAAAAAGTAAAGTAATAACAAAATATCCAAATGAATAACTACTTTATCAACACCACTAGCAAGGGCTTGTCTGAATTGCTTCCCGCCCCTCAAAAGCTGTTAACATACTCAGATATTTGGCTAGTCCATTTTAATTAAATTCAATTTAAAACCAAAAGTGTAAATAAATGAGATGGGAGAGAAAGGCTGCACTGCGTTCGCTCCTCCCCGCACACACTCTATTAAAGCACCAGACTGATTATTCAGAGACTAATTACCCACTAGCCCTCTTCGCACCTGGGAATTGCCAACACGCTCCTAAGCACTTAAGTATAACTGAGAAACACACCGTAGCACTGGTCCTCAATCCTCTAGAGTTCTTCTCAACACTGCAACCTGAGGGTCACCCGAGGGGCACAGATCTAAAACTTTGCGGCAGATATAAAAACTTTTCAGGAGGCTGAGAAACGGTGCTTTAAGACTTAGAGCAACTCTCTTCATGAAAAACAATCATGATTGTTCCATGGTAGATGAGCATATATATATAATATATATATATTATATATATATGCGCATATATATATGTGCGTATATATATAATATATATATTCTTATGTTCTATATACGTAAGCATTTTAAGGATGAGAAAAAGGGGCACCTGGCTGGCTCAGCCAGTAGAGCATGCAATTCTTGATCTCGGGGTTGTAAGTTCGAGTCCCACATTGGGTGTAGAGATTACTTAAAAATAAAATCTTAAAAAAAAAAAAAAAAAAAAGATCCTTTGCTGTTGAAATCCCAATTCATTTGAACTAGGGTCCCGGCAAGGCCCCCACTCTGCTCTTCTTCCCTCTTCTACTTGTCCTCACTGCCCCTGGCCCCCACACCAGCCTCCCACCCTGCCTTTCTTTTTTTTTTAATTTTTTTTTTCAACGTTTATTTATTTTTGGGACAGAGAGAGACAGAGCATGAACGGGGGAGGGGCAGAGAGAGAGGGAGACACAGAATCGGAAACAGGCTCCAGGCTCCGAGCCACCAGCCCAGAGCCCGACGCGGGGCTCGAACTCACGGACCGCGAGATGGTGACCTGGCTGAAGCCGGACGCTTAACCGACTGCGCCACCCAGGCGCCCCCACCCTGCCTCTTTCAAGGCATCTGTACTGGTGCTGGGTTTGGAGCCACTCTTCTGCTGATGTCCATCCCCTTCGCTTCATTTAAATGTCATCTTCACAGCGACAGCCTGCCAACTGCAGTCCGCCCATCCGTGTTCCCAACTCCCCTTGTCCTGTGCTATCTTCCCACAGAGCTTATCACCTTCCCACAGTACACAGGACTTAAGTTTGTACCACCCCTAAGTATACAACCATCTCCCAAATTTGTTTCACTTCACTGACTCACCCCAACATTTAGAGCCTCAAATGCCTGCTGAATCAATGAACCAACGGCAGCCCTAATAATCAATTATTAAAATGAAAAAAACAGGCATCTAGGTAATTTAAGATCCTCATGTCTACTAAGCCGAACCTTAGGAAAGAAAGTCCCAGGAGTCAACTGTTTTTTTGTAATCCCACATCCCAGACAGGTAGAGCTCCCAGGGATCAGACAAGCAAATGAAAAGTCTCAAGGCTTCAAATTATTACAAGTAATTTTGAAATGCCAGTACCCAAAAATAACCAGGCACACAAAGACAAACAAGACTCTGGGAGCAAGAACCAACAGCAAAAACAACAGATGGCATGCACCCAGTTCCAGATCTGTCTGTTGGTATTCAGCTCTTTTCCGCCTCTGTTGCAGAGGGGTTCGAGGTCTGAAACTACATATACAAGACTTCTTGCCAGCTGGAGTCTTGCTAAGTCATCCCAAAGGGAAGCACTGGTGGGAAATGAAAAGGGAGTAGGAAAAGACAGAGGCGGGCAAGCGCACAGAGGGTGGCTACAGGAAATTTCTAGGCCAGGCACAACCAGGTAACAAGCCCTCCTCCCCAAACTGTTCCAGCACCTTTGCAAATACTTCACTACATCTTTCTCTAAATGGTTTCTATTTTCCTAACTGGACACAGACTGATACCCCCAAAGAATTCAGATGCTGGAATTATTGAACCTATACTATAAAATTATGCTTACTCTGTATAAAGAAATACAAAAGGCAAGCCCAGGGACACCTAGGTGGCTCACTTGGTTGAGCGACTGGCTCTTGGTTTCCACTCAGGTCATGATCTCACCATTTGTGAAATCGAACCTGCTTGGGATATTCTCTCTCTCTCTCTCTCTCTCTCTCTCCCCATCTCCGTGTCCCTCCCCTGCTCACTCACACACACTCTCTCTCAAAATAAATTTAAGAAGATGTAAATAAAAGACAAGCCCAAATGATCTGCAAGGAAGAGAAAATTTTAAGGGACAGTAAAATAAAAAGGAACAGAACTTCTAAAACTGGAAAACAAAATTGATAAAATTAAGCACTTAGCTTTAACAGCAGCAGCTCAAACAGAAATATATAGGTAAAAAGAAGTTATGGAAAATGCAAAGAGACATTAAGAAACAAAGGACAAGGTGAGACAATTTTACACTGAATCGAATTCCCAGAAGAGGAAAACATCACAGAGGCAGTATTTGACCTAAAGGCTGAGCAATTCCAGGACTGATGAAATTTACCAACTGACTGACTCAGGAAGCCCAAATAACCAAAGCAGGATAAGATGTGGTACGTATACACAATAGAGTATTACTCAGCAATCAAAAAGAATGGAATCTTGCCATCTGCAAGTCCGTGGATGGAACTGGAGGGCTTTATGCTAAGTGAAATTAGAGAAAAGACAAATAGCATATGACTTCACTCATATGAGGACTTTAAGACACGAAACAGAGGAACATAGGGGAAGGGAACCAAAAATATAAAAACAAGGAGGGGGACAAAATGGAAGAGACTCTTAAATACAGAGAACAAACTGAGGGTTGCTGGAGGGGTTGGGGTGGGGGGTGGGCTACATGGGTAAGGGGCACTAAGGAAGACACTTGTTGGGATGAGCACTGGGTGTTATCCATGGGGGATGAATCACTGGAATCTTCCTGAAATCATTATTCCACTATATGCTAACTAACTTGGGTCTAAATAAATAAACAAAATTAAAAAAATAAAGATATTGTGTTTAAAGAAAAAGGGAATCAATCACTGGAAAGCGGGAATGGGGAGAAGAGGTGGGAGAGATGAGGAGGGGTCCTGGAGTGTCCTGGAATCATCAAGTGCTAGGGGTGGGGAGCAGAGGATGAGGCCACCGTGGGAGCAGCACAGTCGCAGCTGTGGCAAAAGGATGCACTTGAATGCCGAGGCTGTGAACTTCAAGTAAGACCCATTCACTGCT